TTATTGCCTTATTTTTTTAGTAATTTCCTTTTCCCCTCTTGCGGGTGCAAAACTAATAATTCGTCCTTTGCTTAAATGTTTCGAGTAAAAGTCAAAAAAGTTCGCACCAGCCGCCAAAAACCCGTGCTTCAAAAAACCCGTTATTTGCGAAGATATCCGGGGAAAATTACTACTAAATTGCAAAAAAAAGCGTTTATTGAACTAATGCCCGGTCACGAATTACCGTTATTTTCCAACAAATAATTAGTAAAAAATAAGACAACGAATTCCAATCTCTATCCCCTACAAACAAACAAAGAAAATATTTTTTTGGTTATTTGACACTGATTTACTCATTATTAATAAAAAATAGTAAAATAATATATAAGTAAATAAAGAATTATCAGAAAGTCTTCCACAAACTAAACAAAATCACCAATCACAACTTAAAGACCTAACCACCATACTATTTCCTAGTAATCTTGATAATTTTGCTTTTGCTAATTTGAAAAAGCAAGCCAGCAAAATCAGCCAAGAAAACCAACAAGCCCAGGTCAAAATTTTGGAATTAGAAAGTCAAATTAGCAATTTGAATCAACAACTCTATTCTATTCAACAACAAACCGCACTTAGCCAAGGAGAAAACCTAAAAACCGCTATGGAAAAAGAAACAAATAGAACGGGAGTTATTGAGATAGATGATGATAAATTACCTGATGACAAACAACAAATTACTTTACAAACCAGACGAAGAAATTATTATAATCAATTAGTTAAATCAGAAAATCAAGCTAAACAATATGAAGCCCAAATAAAAATTGCTCCAAAGTAATTGATGATAATTTCTAATTCTCCCGCTAGCAAAAAGTTTTTTTCTTGCTACTCACGACTTTTTTGACAAAAGACGATTTCTAGATAAAATTAACAATATTTAAGAAATATGGAAAAAATTGAAGGTATAAAAGCAGCCGGAAAAATTGTGGCTAACATTTTAAAACAACTAAAAAATGCAGTCAAAGTGGGTGTGTCTGGCCGAGACCTAGAAAATATTGCTAAAAAACTTATGGAAGAAAACAAGGTCCAATCTTCCATTTTCAACTATCAAGGATTCCCGGGTTATATTTGTGTTTCCTTAAACAACGAATTAACACACGGCATTCCCGATGACCGACCCTTTCGGGACGGCGATTTAGTTTCTATTGATGTGGCTTGTAATTATCAAGGTTATCATGCTGACGCCGCCTTAACTTTAATTGCCGGTGAAGGAGAAACTCAAAAAAAAGATTTACTAAGGGTTACTAAAAACAGTCTTTATTACACTATTCAGAATATCCAACCTAACATTACTACTACCCAAGATATTGGGGCCACTCTGGAAAAATTTATCCGCTCTCGGGGTTATTATCCTATCAAGGAGTATGGGGGACACATAATTGGCACCAGCATGCATAGCGACACGTATCAAGACCAAGAAGTAAAAATATTTATTCCTAATTATAAAATTAAGGATAAGGGAGAAGTTCTTCGCACTGGAATGTTTATTTGTATCGAGCCATTAGTGCAAATGAGCGACGCCAAAGTCGAAGTAGCAACTGATAAGTGAACGGTTTTTTCTCCTCATGGGAATTTAAATGCTCATTTTGAGCACACCGTTTATATTGGTCCCGAAAAAGCTGAAATATTAACGGATTATGACGAATAACAAAGATTTTTTATACGCCGAAGGCAAGATAAAAAGGTCCGTGGGGAATAACGACTTTCAAGTGGAATTAACCAAAAATAAGCAAATTATTTTAGCCAAAGTAACCCGCCGTTTTCGGAATAGTGCCGAACGCGGCAAAAAAAAATTAATCGAAGGAGATTTGGTTATGGTAGAAATTCCTCTCGACGATTTAAGCAAAGGACGAATTATTAGTTTTGCACCCGCAAGAGGGGAAAAGGAAATTACTAAAAAAATAAGGCAATAA